GTCGTGTGTGTGTGGAAAATGGAAAACTGAGCTCCAATAAAACACCAAAAGACTGCCACTGCTGCAAAACTCCGAAAACCGAGCGGACGACACGGACTCTGAAAAAATAAAAAAAAAAAAAGTGCGAGGCGCGCGTGTAACAATTATGTGATATCTACAACAAAAACAACCAATGCTCGAACTGCTGACGTCACGCACAGAATATAATAGAATAGTACATATAGAAGAAATCTTAAAAAAATAAATGCCCAATGTTCCCACAGACTGAATACAAGCAGAGCAGTATATAGAGGCGATAATAGTTATATAAAAAAAGAAATACATAAGTAATAAAAAGACTCCCCCCCCTCCTCTACAGTAAAACGTGTGTGATATTCAATGAGCAAGAGGAAGCAGAGCTAATTGTTATTGTTGCGTGTGTGATATATCAGCGAGTAAGAAGCGACACAATATTTCCAAAATTCCAATCTATAGGTGCGTTTTTTGAAAACCCATTAATCATTATGGTTTAAAACCCGCTAATAACTTTTAAAAACTGATACCGGCTAGCCACCACCACTACCCCACTCATTCATGATCCCATTTCTAGAACAATAAGTATTTTTTTCGAGCAACAGATAACGTTACTTTCAAGTGAGTTTTCATCATATTTTAGGGTTTTATTTGTGTTTGCTCGATCGGCGGCTACTCTTTTTTTTTCATTTTATGGCGCCCTTAGATTAAGGTGGACTTTTATTTACCAGAGGTGACTGGGAAGTGATTTTGTTGCTAATTTGGTGTATTTTAACACTCGATCTATCTGTGCAAACAATATATACCTAATCGCGGTATGTGGCAAACAACAAACCACTATATAGCCATACTATATACAATAAATGGCCTCTGTTATCAGGCCTTTTTATTTATTTTTTTTTCGATTCAGTGAGAAATGCGTCATCGTTGGGAATATGGACAAGCCAAGCCGTGCCGCGCCAAGTCCAGTATATTATGCACATTATGTATTCTAAGGGCGGGGGAGTTCCCCGAATTTTCCCGTTAGCCGGCATTGAATTTCCACACCCACACACTACACACGAAAAAGTTTCCTTCCCCTATATGTGTGTGTTTTGTCTTTTTGTTTGCAATTTTCTGTGGGCGAAATATTTTGCGACGCATTTTGTGCGCCTCTCCCTGGATATAAAGCTCCCTTCTCTCACACTCTCTCGTTTCTCTCAGTCGGCTTTTATTTTTTTTTCTCCACCGTCGAGCGACCCATCCAGTTGGCAATTATTTTTGGCTTTCTCAATCGAAGCACGAAGGCGAGGCTTATAACAGTGTAATGTTAAGTGGGCATTTTTGTATTGTATTTGTATTTTACTATTTCTTTCTACGTGTCTTTTACTTTTCCTCTTTTTTCTAGTTTCTTGTGTTTGCAGTCGTGTGCAAATTAGATATCACTGGCTGATTGGCGTTTTTGGGTTAAGCCTCGAATGTTTAGTGGGCAAACAACAGTAAGAAGCTTTGGCGCGAATGTAATTGGCTTAAAAAAATTAAGAAAGCAGAGACAAAACCTGATCCGGGCCATATTTTGGGGGACCAGTAATTATCGAAAAAGCCCACCGGCTAGATCCCCCCATGTGGATTCTGTCTACGAGTAACAGCTGTTACCTCAGGCCGGCTTTTACTCTCTTGCTTGTTGGCATCTCAATCGCTGTCTCGCTTACTCTCTCCCCCAAAATTCATGTCCTCTTTGCTTTTATTTTTTTTTCAAATTGCAATTGTTGTTGCCTTAACACCTTTGTATTTATTTCATTTGTCCCACCCGCCCCTCTTTCCACATTTCTACTGCGCATGCAAAATCATGTGCAAAAAGAAAGCGAAATTTTTAGTATTAAGCTTGTGTGGGTGTGTGAGTGGGGTGTGCCTGAGCATGAGTGTGCATGTGCTCAAATATTAAATGCATAATTAAAAGCATGTAAATGCATGACTTTATAATTAATAACGGTAAATTGGCATGTTAGAGAATTACAGTTATGCTGCAAGAGTAATAGAGGCAATTAAGAGGGGATTGAATTTGTATCTTTGGGGAGTATACAATTCAATTAAAGGTTTTAGGCTTTTAATATTAAATTAGAGAGTAAGTTGTGTAATTCAACCTGCCACCTCTGAAAACCTTTCCTTCTCGTTGCTTACCTTTACTAATTTGAAATTAAAGACAGCCGGGTAGGGGGGCAATCGCTATCAAAAGTCACCGCATTGCGTGCCTTGAGTCGCTTGGCTGCCTACCCACTCCCCACCCCACCCACTCACACCGCTTTTCCTCACGAACCCCCTTGAAATTATTTACTTGGCCTCTACATTATGTGTATTCTCTGGCCTTTTCCTTTATCAGTCATACGAAATTGTAGAACGAAAAGCAAAGAAAAGCTATTCTAGCTAATGCTGCTGCCGATGCGCTGCGCGCTGTTGCCTCGAATGTTGATTGAAATGAGAGAGATGGGAAATATACGTACGTACAACACATACTTGTGGAATAAACAACTTGTTATTTATTTGCGGTGTAGGCCACATTTTCCACGATTTTTCTTGTTTTCCTATTTTGATGTTTATTTCCCTGTTTGCATAATGTTATTTTTTTTCCTCTTCTTCTCTTACCAGTTGCTGTTATTTGTTTTTTTTTTTTTATGTGATGACCGACAAGTGCACTTAGAAGTTGTTATTAAATAGATACAAGATACAAGATACTTTCTTTTCAAGATATAGATTTCTACTTCAGGGCTTAAGTTAAATTACTAACTGGTTTTTAATTAAATTCTTTATTGTATCTCAAGATCACCTTTACTCCTTCCCCCCTCAGTATATTTCTTGTTAAATTTTGTTGTTTTTCTGTATTTTTGGTAATCTTATACTCTCTACTGTAATTTTAGATGCCAAATCTCTGATAATATTTCCAGCTACTTGTTCGCTTTTTTGCGTGCCGATCAAAAGAAATTTAAATTGGAAATTTCAATCGGCCAGACCTACCTGGTATTCCCCTACTACTGCTCTCCTTCTCTTTTGTCCGGCCCCCATATTTCTGCACTTTAAAGTTTTTTTTTAAGAGAGCGGTAGAGAGAGAGTATATGATTGATTTCCTTGTATGGGACTTGAATTACCTGAGCTCGTTCGCCTGTAAGCAGATACCGTTTTTATTTTTTATTATTCATGTTGTTTTTTTTCGAAAAACACATACTAACGCATTAACACACGCTTGAAAAATCAGTGCAAAGCTTTGGGGCTAATGGGGATGCTACAAAAAAGGGTGAAAAAAAACGAAGAGGAGTTGGGTTGCCGCCAACGCTGTCTGCAATTTAGTGGAAGCGAGATGGCTTATAAGGAAAGGGAGATAGATAGAAAGGTCTAAAGCTGGCACAGTGGGCATGTTTTGTTTAAAATCTAATGCAAATTTAAGTTAAAATAAAATGGTATTTTTAAATATTTCTGGACCTTTGTTATAACTGTTGTTAGTTGTTATAAAATCCGGTGGATTTCCATAAGACCTTTTTTTCGCCTTTGAAGGCCACTGTGCAACATCAATTTCGTTGGTCTGTCTACCTGTCCACCGCTCTGGCTTCCATATCTTGAAAATGTCAGCAAATTCCATGTGACTTTTAAGCCGTCTTTGGTTTCTTTTTACTTTCTGGCATTTAGTTTCGCAATCTTTCATTCAGCTTTTTCGACTACTTGCTGTAAGAACCACTATCTGGAGTTAGTGGAGTTTGAAAAAGAGCACAAGTATTAAGTACCCCTTTAGCTAACCGTTTTTTTTTTGATCCATGCAAATTTTTATCGCATGCAGGGCTAACGATAATTACCTTATTTTTTTTAAACCTTTTTTATTTACCCTTATTTTTTACGCTCATTTGAGCTTTATAATTTGTTGTTGTCGTCTTCCATTCATGCTGCCTCGTTTAGCCACGAATGAGGTTAACATTCAGGCCTCTAATGAAGGTAGATCTTCAAGGTAGACAGGGGATAATTTCATAAATTTAATTTTTTAATTTTGATATTTATAATTATTTATAAAATAAATAAATTTTGGCTTTAGAGGCCTCATTTTTTTTTGTTTAAACTAAAACTCTTATTAATTTCTCTCAGTGTTCTTGGGTCTCTAAACTGGCCCTGTCTCGCGTTTTTGGCCAAAAGCGGTTGAAGCCGGGCCCCGTCCACACTATAGTAGTAATAACGTTATTTTCTTCGTTACCTGTGATGGCTTTTCTTGTTTCTATCTTCTGTTTACCTGGGCCTTCTCTTCTTTTGCGTTTGTTGCCTTTGCTGCCTGTTTCTTCTTTTGATTCTTCACGCTGAGCCGGCCATGGCTATATATTGATTGTTTAATATTTTTTGTTTCCCCCCTTTATTTTTTTTTTTCGCCGAGTTTATTGACATTTTGTGCGCGAACTTTAAGCGCGTCTTCCTCTTCCGAACATTCCGAAATAGTTTCGGCATGCTTCAGAGCAATCCGGTTCATTGGAGCTTAGAGATATTTTGGCAATTCAAGATATCTTTGTGGTAGTTGGGTCTTGATTTCAATTATTTTGTTAACAAGTCAAAAGTATATCAGGGAGTGCTATATAGAGCACTATATCAGCTTTATCACAAAAAGCGTCAGAGCTTCTTGTTATTTACCTGCTTTGGTGGCTCTTTTTTTTTTTATTATAGTCGTGCAATTGTTTTCTTTTACCGCTCGCCTTTCGTTTCGCATTTATTTGCATTTCCATACATACATACATTCGTTCGTTAGCTTGTCGGGGCGCATTTTAATTTGTTGTTGTTCACTGGAATGAATGGCAACTGAGGTAAAAAAAATAAAAACAAATATACAAACTCGTGTAGATACAACGGAAAGTCCAAAAACAGATCAAAAGTTTAATGTGCCAAATGCATAAAATATTAAGAAAATGAGGTCAAGCTATAAATAAACTACGATATCATTGTTATGTATTTAACCTTAACTATTTTGTTTTTTTTTTTTTTTGCAGATGTGAAGAATCCTTAGGTGCTAATTTAGTTGATAAGCGCAAAAAAAAAGAGAGAGACAGAGACAGATCGAGATCAAGAGAGAAAAGAGCGATAAACAAGAAGTACAATAAGTTAACGGACACCAGAGAGAGAGAGCGCTGATTTTCCAATCGAGTGGCAACTTTTTGAGGGCAGTGCTCAAAAGTATGCTACAAAATACACACAGCGATCGCCGCACGAGGCGAACCTAACAGAACCTTAAAAGCGCGACACACACACCCACAAAGCTACACAGAGAGAAAAAAAGAGTGAGAGCTGAGCGAGACAGAACTGCAGCGCAATGTCCAAGTTCTTTCTAACTGTTGCCCCCAACAACAACAACAACAGCAGCAACAATGCCAGCAGCAACACACCGCGCCAACAGCAGCTCTACGGCGGTGGAGGTGGTGGGGCAAGTGGACACACACTGGTCGCCCGGAAGCTCAATTACGATCTTATCGGCACCACCACCACCACCAACATCAACAACAACAACAACAACATCGTGATCAAGAACGAGACCCTCGACTATGATTACGAACACGGACTGAGCAGCAGTGACAGTAACAGCAACAGTAACAGTAACAGTAACAGCGGTGTGGCAGCCCACCTGCGGGATCATGTCTACATCAGTCTGGACAAGGGGCACGGTGGGGCGACTGCCACAGCGGGTCAACTGCAACTGCAGCAGCAACAGACCCGCAAGGTGGCCACCAAGTCCAATGATATCACAAATTACTACAAGGTGGGTTTATCTAATAAAAGTAATTAGTTAAAGTAATTAACTAATTAATTAATTAATATTATAGGTTAAACGCCGACCACATGCCGTTAGCGACGAGATCCACCCGAAGAAACAAGCCAAACAGAGCGCCCACCACCAGACGGTGGGCTACCAGACGACGAATGTGGCAACCAAATATGCAACGCAGCAGCAGAGGCAACAGCTGCTGCGCCACAGTACTGACGTCGACGTGGACGAGGATGTGGGAGAGCGGGTGGTCAAGTCGGCCGCCCATCATCACTCCTTCGCCCTGTCGACGCCCCAGCAACAGTTGGCCTCCTCGGCGGCCAGTTCGTCGAGCGGTGATCGCAATCGGGCGGACACCTCGCTGGGCATACTGACCAAGAAGTTTGTGGATCTGCTGCAGGAGTCGCCCGACGGTGTGGTGGACCTGAACGAGGCATCCAATCGGTTGCATGTGCAGAAGCGACGCATCTACGACATCACCAACGTGCTCGAGGGCATCAAGATCCTGGAGAAGAAGTCGAAGAACAATATCCAGTGGCGTGGCGGCCAGTCGATGGTCAGCCAGGAGCGATCGCGACGCATCGAGGCGGAGTCGGAGCGTCTGGAGCAGCGCGAGAATGAACTGAACCAGGCCATTGATCAGATGCGGGCCAATCTGGCGGAGATCACGCAAGAGGTGGAGAACGCTGGCGGCATGATGGCCTATGTCACGCAAAACGATCTGCTCAACGTGGATCTGTTCAAAGATCAGATTGTGATTGTGATTAAGGCGCCGCCAGAGGCCAAGCTTGTGGTGAGTGTTGGTAAAGGGTTCAAGATGGGGGTTAAGCTAAGCAGTGTTGCTAAGAGTTAGGAACCCCGTGAGAGAACTGTTAGTTTTGTATAGCTTAAGGAAAGTGTTGGTAAAGGAGGAGGAAGAACTGTTACTACTTTACATAGCTTTTGTTGAGTGTTGGTAAAGGGCTTAGAAAAAGGATTTAACAAGCTTAACAGTGTTGCTAAGGGCGAAGAACTCAAAAAAGAACTATAATTTACTTTGTATAGCTTGACTCATTGCAAAATCTTGTGCCATTTGTGCCAATATCTCTTTGTGGATATATCCTATAGCTCTGCTATATACACTCGTGTCGACGTCAGAGCTTTTCCTAGCTTTTCCCAGTGGTGCTTCTTCTTAGCGTCTGCATGCCATTAAACGTGGCGCTTATTTATAGACCCCCCATCGTAGCGTCAGACACGACACCGACCAAGAGCGCGCCCGCCCATCTTTTTATACCCTTGCAGAGGGTATTATAATTTTGTCCAAAAGTGTGCAACGCAGTGAAGGAGACATCTCCGACCCTATAAAGTATATATATTCTTGATCAGGATCACCTCCTGAGTTGATATGAGCATGTCCGTCTGTCCGTCTGTCCGTCTGTCCGTCTGTCCGTCTGTCTGTCCGTCTGTCTGTCTGTTTCTACGCGAACTAGTCTCTCAGTTTTGAAGCTATCGTCTTGAAACTTTGCACACACCCTTCTTTCCTTTGCACGCAGTATATAAGTCGGAACGGCCCGGATCGGCCGACTATATCCTATAGCTGCCATATAACGGATTGATCGGAAATGGTATAACTTTGGTGTTTTTAGAGTTAGAGAGTTCAAATTTTACAGGAAAGCTATTTTTGGCAAAACATTACGACATGCCAAATTTCATAAGGATCGGCCGACTATATCTTATAGCTGCCATATAACTGAACGATCGAAAATGACCCAACTTTCGTGTTTTTGAAGATAGAAAGCTGAAACTTAATACAGATTATATTTTTGGCCAGTTGATCCATCCTACCGAATTTCAATAGGATCGGCCGACTATATCCTATAGCTGCCATATAACTGAACGATCGGAAATGACCCAACTTTCGTGTTTTTGAAGATAGAAGTTTGGGACATTTTTTTTAGATTTTTTATTTTAGTTAATTGGTTTTATTATGATGTAATCATAAGGATCGGCCAACTATATCCGATGTTTGCGATATATATCCGGTTTTAGCTGCAAGGGTATATCAACTTCGGCTCCGCCCGAAGTTAGCTTTCCTTTCTTGTTTTTTATATATTTTTATTTTTTATTTTGATATCAAGTAAATTTTGTGGCCTCGTCAAGAAAGTTATTTCCAATCGCCGCCGATTCTCAATCCTCTTAGATGCCGCACTATTTATAAAAAAAAAAAAACGCTTAATGTTTCCGCTCGCCTTGAACTGTTGAATGAACTCTCGCGAGGAAGAGAGTACCTCTCTCTATATCTCTTAATATTTGGCCAGAGTGTCTAGATTTCTAAAAAAAAAAAACCTTAAAACTACATATTAAAATGCTACATTCTTTAATGAAAAACTTAACTTTTGTTTGGTTTAAGCTATGTGGCAACGCCAACAGAAAAGAATATATGGTATATAGTATATAAAATAAAAATAAAAGAAACCGACGGGGGGCGAAAAAGCGAAAAAAGCGCAAAAGCAAAATATCATTTCTAAAAATAAGCGAGCGGCAAAAAAAAAAAAAAAAATGGTTGCTCATTCCGGACTCACTTCATTTGTGTTTCTCTTTTGCTGGCGAGCGGTTCGGCGACCGCTTAAAAATTTCAACAGTTCGAAGTCCCCCCTTGGGGCTCTTCCCCTAGTTAGTATCTCCCCAGTACCCCCCAGTATCTTTATTTTTTTTGTATTTTAATCGTATTTGGTTCTTTAATCGTTTTTTTTTTGTGATTTTTTTGCGAATTCCAGTTGCCCAACACCAAGTTACCGCGTGAGATCTACGTGAAGGCGGAGAATAGCGGGGAGATCAATGTCTTCCTCTGCCATGACACCACGCCGGAGAATTCGCCGATGGCTGCGGGCGCCGGCTATGTCGGAGCACCCGGAGCCGGATGTGTTCGAACAGCCACCTCGACACGATTGCATCCGCTGACCAGCCAGCGACCGAATGATCCGCTCTTTAACAATATCGATGCCATGAGCACGAAGGGATTAGGTGAGTAATCTTTAGAATTTTAAAGATTTCTTGAAAAAAAAATACTAATATTGGTATTTTTGCAGGTACCGCTCCCTATCGCTCGGCACGCAACCTTAGCAAATCGATCGAGGATGCCGCCAAGCAGTCCCAGCCTGAATATAATAATATTTGTGATATGGCAATGGCCCAACAGCAGCAGCACCAACAGGAAGAGGACGATGTGGATGTAGAGCTGAGACAGTTGGTGCCGACGCTGACTAATCCGGTGGTGCGCAGCCATCAGTTCAACCAGCAGCAGCACCAGCAACAGCCCACAATCCAGGAGCTGTTCTGCAGCTTAACGGAATCCTCGCCGCCCACACCCATCAAGCAGCGACGGGCAGCCGCAGCCGCTGCCATTGCAGCGGGTAGCGCAACAGTAACGACAACAACAACAGCAACCACTACGCTTAATAGTCATAACAGAAACAACAACAACAACAACAGCACCCAACAACAACCCCCCACAATAGGATACGGCAACAGTCAGCGACGCAGCGATGTACCCATGTACAACTGTGCCATGGAGGATACCGCCAGCACGTCGCGAACATCATCTGGGGCCGCCGGAACAACCGGAAGAGGAGCATCATCGGCGATGGGCTCGCTGCAGATGCAGTTCGCCGCCGTGGCGGACACTAGCAGCAATCACAGCAACAGCAATGCGGGCGGCGACAGCGGCTATGGCAGCATCGGTGGGGCTGGCGCTGGCGCCAACGCTGATCCCCATCAGCCATCCCCCTTCAGCCATGGCCGCAGTGTGGCCGACGACTGCGATGCCAATAGCAACAGCAGCAATGTCACCCTCCAGGGTTTGGATGCGCTCTTCAATGATATAGGCTCGGATTGTAAGTATTGTTTGAGGGGGAGGAGGGCGTAATAATAGATAATAAGAGATATATATTAGTAACTACTATTATATTAAATGCCTTTTAATATATAGATTTAAAAAGTGCTTTCCAATGCTCTCCATTCATGCATCCAAGTCCTTAAAATTGAAAAAAGGATCTCTCAAAAATAATCTTGTAAAAAGTCCTACATCCATTCACTATTACCCGGTGTTAATATTAATAATAATAATAATAAGAGTAATAAGTGTGATATCTGCTATATCTCTATGAGGCTCTCTTGTCAAGAACTCTCTCTGTGACCTGCGTGCTTTTAAAACCCACATCACAGTCTGAGTTCTTGCTGAGCGTGGCAACCTCAAAGCAACCTAAAAACCTATCAAGGGGAGAGTTAACATTAAAGATTTATAACAAAAAAAAACTTAATCTTTTTCAAATTTCAAAATATTTTAAAAACCTATTTTTGTTTCATTTTTTCAAAATTATTTCGGCCAACGAGAATCAGTTCAAAATTGACAATTTGAGTTTAGTTTTAATTTTTGTTATTTTTGTTTATTAATCAAAAAGGGTATTAATCATTTAACATAAATATTAACAAAATATCAAAAAATAAACAAACTAACCTTGTAAATAATAACCCTACCCCCTTAAAATAACTCATTACATTGCAAAAAATTCAGCACCTCACACTCTCACACATGTGCCTGTAACCATTAACCAATAATACATACTTTTGAAATAGAAGGATTTTTTTGTAATAATTGTGCAAAATTGTATAATATTGTATGTATATATATATCGACATATAACCCGACGCCTCGTCAGCAATCGTCCTCGTGTCAAATTCATTTTGGAACTGAATTCTCGTGGGTCTGCACTGACAACACTGACCGCTGCTCTCCAGGGCCAATTGTTCATTTTGAAATTGAAATTTTGTAGCACCATGAGATTCAGCTCTGGCGTGAATTTCAAACATGCATCCACAACATCTCTCGCTCGCTCTCGCTCTATCAAATCTCTATGTCTCCTACTCTATATATATGTATATGAATGTCCTTGGAACCGAGACTAAGTCTTTATTGAGAAAATATAATTTATTAAAATTTTTGGATACTTTTTCGTTTACAGACTTCACCAACGATATGGCCTTTGTGTCCATCAATCCGCCGGACGATAATGATTATCCGTATGCCCTGAACGCACACGAGGGCATCGATCGGCTCTTCGATTTTGGTTCCGAAGCCTATGGACCCTAAGAGGAGGACGCGACATCCGCCCAAACACATCCACACTTCTCACACACAACCACAACCACACTCGCGTATATATCTAAAAAATTGGGATTCTGGGGGTGTTTATAATTTTAAATTATATACAAAAATGGAAGCAAAAAGAAAAGGAAAGCAAACAACAAAACCCAGCAAATTACAAATTTATTATTAAATTATATAAATTGCAAAGGAACATAAAAAAAACCCACAAAAAAAAAACACAAAAACAAAAATCTGCAAAACTTAATGAAACTAAGTTGTGTGTAAAGTTTTAAGCGTAAATATATATACATTTAAATTTATAACCCAAACGTAAATTTAAGCGAAAAAACAAAATCTACTTTACGAAAACTCAGCCTCACAAGAAAACAACAACAACAAAAAAAAATCAACAAAAAAGGATGGAGAGAAAAAACATTTTTTAAGCAAATTTAAATTTTAGCCTTTAAAGAAAAAATACAAATCAGAAACGTAATCAGAAGAAAAAGAAGAATCAGGAAACACGATGTGAAAGAAATTGTGACATCCACACGAAAAGCGAATACCCTTCCTCTACTCATCCAGCAACTTTTTTTGGGCTAGAACTGTCTGTAAAATAGTAAAAGGAATTACAACACACACACACATAATTTTTAATAAGAAAACAAAATAGTTGTAAAGCCAATCAACATAAAATTAAACAACAATAAAAACTAAATCAATTTCAAATTGTAAAAAAAAAAAAAAGATGAACATATTTGCCTCAGATTCCATCGGAGCCAAGGGCAGAAGTCGAGAAGAAGTCACACAACTTGGGCCCCTCCCCTTGTCTAAATTTTAAACCTCTATCGCCCCCCCAAAAGTTCAAATGTGCCCTTTTCCCGACAATCCGACAATCCCCGATACCCTTTCTCTAATGTTTTATTATTTGCGCATGCAACCAATATCCCATCAGCGTTGTCCTGTCCATCTTCTGCGAATTGTTTCATTTGCTTGGATCGATTGATTGATTTTTAATTATTATTAAATCTATAACTATGTATAATAATTTGTTATTGTTATAAAATTTAAACTATAAACACACACACACATGGGCCCAATAGCAGTTTATTCATAGAAGCCAAATCATCCCACAAACAAACAAACAACCACTTAACAGAGTCAACTACAAGTACATAATAATTATTTAAACTCTCGCCTAGAAGTTATATATTTAATAAACAATAAATGCAACACACAAAGGCAAATCATAAATTGTAAAAAATAAAATCAACAAATAAAACAAGGAGAAACCACAAAAAATAAAATCAACAATTTTTTATTATTTCATTCAGGTTTAGGTGGCGAATCCCAATTTCTTGGGGCTGTCAGTAAGTGACCTCAAGACCGATTCTTGAGAGAAATACCTTAAACGATTTGTAGATCGATTCTCCACCAATCTACATTAAAATCCCACGACAAAATATTTTTTCGATTTTTCGTCCAATTTTCTGGAGGATCCCTTCAAAATGTGAAAATGAATGAGGGCACAATATGGCTCACAAAGAAGGCTATATCTTTGCTAAAAGTCATCCGATTCTTGAGAGGAATACCTTAAACGATTTACAGATCGATTCTCCATCAATCTGCATCGAAACCCAACAACAAAATATTTTAAAGATTTTCCGACTAATTTTCTGGAGGATCCCCTTCAAAATGTGGAAAATGAATGAGGGCACAATATGGCCCACAGAGAAGGCTATATCTTTGCAAAAAGTCATCCGATTCTTAAGAGGAATACCTTAAGGATGTAGTCTCATGTGCCGGCCTACTTTTTAGAGGTTATTTCAAAAAATTTTTTTTGTAATAAAAAATAATGCGATCGTTTCAATTTTCACATATGTTTTTATAAGCATCATAAACTATTTGAAAATATTTTCTTTAATTTATTCTTGTGTAGTTTAATACACTTTATAGCATGCCAAAGTATGCATATAAAAAAAAGATAAAGGTCCCTGGCGCAGGTGATTTCGACTGCTAGAGTCATCCGAAACAAAAAATTAGAATAGATTATTGTTTTGTAAGCTTCTGGCTCTGTCCCGTACTAGAATGAAATATTTTCATCAATAAACAACAAAACGGCGAACTCTCAAAACAAAAAATTAAAAAAAATTAAAAAAAAATTAAAAAAATTTATCTTAAATTAATGATAAAAAAAAACTAATCATTAAAAATAAATGATTCTAGTACGGGACAGAGGTGTTACTTTTTAGAACAACATATCCAAATTTCAGCTAGATCGGTAGCATAGAATTTTGTGAATCACCTGCGCCGCACACAAAAATGTCGTTTCGAGAAAAACGCGTTTAAAGTTTAGACGCTACCGAGAAACTCATACTTTTCGGTGTAGGCGCGCTCTCGATTATGGGCTGTCTCTCTGTCATTATTTGATATTTTTATTTGAAACTTTAACAGTACATTCATAATTAACAATACTATCAAAATATAAAAAAAAAAAAAAATTGATTTTTTCAACCTCACACATGAGACTACATCCTTAAACGAATTGTGGATCGATTCTCCACCAATCTGCATCAAAATCCCACAAAAAAATATTTTTTAGATTTTTTGTCAAATTTTCTGGGGGATCCCCTTCAAAATGTGGAAAATTTCATGGGGAGGACAGTGTGGCCCACAGAGAAGGCTATATCTTTGCTAAAAGTCATCCGATTCTTGAGAGGAATATCTTAAACGAATTGTGGATCGATTCTCCATCAATTTGCATCAAAATCTAATATAACAAAATATTTTTCAGATTTTTTGTCCATTTTTCGTGATGGGGATCACTTGAAAATGACTTTTTCCCCTAAAGGGCACACGGTGATGGCTATATCTGCCCCAATTCTCACCCGATTCTCAAGCGGTGTACCTTAAGGGGTTATATACCTTCTTTGTCGAAGAAAATGAGCAAAGTTCGGATTTTTTTTTAGGTATGTAGCAATTATTTAATTACACGGATGTTTTAATTTTTTGATAGTACACTTTATTAACAATGTTTGTGCAAAATTTGGTGGAAAAATATTAAATAGTTTTTAAGGGGTGGCCGTTTCCCTTAGAGTCCTTTTTTTTTTTAGAGCCTTGCGGTGACAGTTCCCCAGGTCAAACAGGTCAACTTAAACCATAAAAGTAAAAATATTTCATTAGTTTAGAGTAATCTCTTGTGCTTGAACGATCGATTTTAAAATTTTTTGTTTTTGTTTGGATATGGCAGCGTTTTATGCTAAAAATAAACGTTTTGGTCTCTAGAAATTTCATTAAAAAATTTATTTTGCCGAAAAAAAAGTTTGCGCGTGAAAAGTCGATCGTTCAAGCACAAGAGAATTTCATTACGAACATTTTAAAAAAAATTTGAAGTAAATCGGTTCAGTAGTTTTCTGCCAATTCATGTCACCGCAAAGTCATTTTTCAAGAAACACCATTTCGAGATATTCGCGTTTAAAGTTTCAAGTTCAGTTCAAGGCCGCAACGAGGCGTGCGATTAGGAGCGCTGTAACTTTTTTTCTACTGCTCCAATCTCTATGAAAAGAATGGGAGAATGTTCTCAAGGAGTTGTTCTTCAAGATAAACCACTAAAAAAATTTTCGTTTTTTTGAAAATAAAAAAGGTATATAACCCCTTAAACGATTTCTAGATCGATTCTTCACCAATCTGCATCAAAATCCTGAAACAACATATTTTTTAGATTTTTAGTCTATTTTTCCTGATTAAACAACAATTAGACCCCTTGTAAATGGGGTTTTCCCTATATGGCCCAGAGGGATGGCTATATCTTCCCCAATTCTCATCCGATTCTCAAGCGGAGTACCTTAAACGATTTCTGGATCGATTCTCCACCATTCTGCATCAAAATCCCACAACAAAATATTTTTTAGATTTATTGTCAAAATTTCTGGAGGATCCTCTTCAAAATGTGAAAAATGCATGGGGCATACTTGAGCTCTTTGGGTTTGTAATATTATTATCTTATTATTTTCTTTATTAAATTTAAATATCTTTATTATCTATGTTTTAAAAAATGAGTTTTTCTACAGCATTGTTTTTCGTTTTTGAGTTCAAACAGCCTTTGGCCCGCCAAGTTGCGCCAGAAAGTAGGACCATAGTAGGACCAAACAGAAAATATCAGAAAAATACCAATAAACAAGAAATTTACCCGCAGACAGTATTAGTGGTGTATCTGTTGGATTTCTGTTAGGCCACAATATTTCTAGATTTTAAAAATTACATTAAAATTTTATTGTAAAATAACGAGGCAATGATGTGATGACAATATTACACATACTAGTACTTCAAAGGTGAATATTTTCGTTTTAAAAAAATAAATTCAAATTCATGATTGGCGATAGAGTGAAAAAATAAGTGAGAAACTCAAATTTTACTCTAAAAAAAAACCGGGTGGGAGCTGCAACATCGTACATGATCGGAAATATGGTATAGTATAGTACTATAATATAGTGTAGTATAGTTTCTCTGCGTGCGGGTGAAAATCTTTAAAAATTTGAACATTTTCTACCGTTTTTTCCCGCGGTTCGATTCGAAATTTAGTGTTCGAAGTGTTTTTTCTGCAGCAAAATGTTGGAAAACGTAAAAAAATGGAAAGTTTTCAGCACTGGAGTTCGAATCGAACCTGTTCGAACTTCCCTCGAACTTCGGAGAAAATGAAAACACTGGCAAAATTTAGTGTCAAACGGGCGCTCCAAGAGAAACCTCAGAAGCCACGGAAGGCACGGAAAGTGATCGCAAAAATAAATAAAAATAAAAAGAACGGACGCGGTAAATCTAGCTAGCTAGAAAAAAAAAGTGTGCAACTGCCGACAACAAATTTTCCCACTAAAACGGACGCGTCGCGGGATTTTCTGGTTTTTCGCAGCCGGAATCCGGGAAAATGTCCGGCATTAAGTGAAATTGTTAACAAAATTGTTAAATGCAAGGTGAAGCACGACGCGGGGCAATTATTGGCCAGGAGGCGCGGTTTTTAACGGATAATCAGCCGCAAGTGAAATTTAACGCATTTCCTGAATGGAAGATACGTAAATAAAGGCGAATTTTAGCGCTGGGAGTCGGAATTGTCTGAAAAAATATTTGGAAACGAGCGGCGGCG